CAGCAACAGCAGCACCAGCAGCAGCAGCACCAGCAACAGCAGCACCAGCAACAGCAGCACCAGCAGCAGCAGCACCAGCAACAGCAGCACCAGCAGCAGCAGCACCAGCAACAGCAGCACCAGCTTGTCATTCATATCCACACTGATTTCCTTCGATGTTAGTTACATTAGTTATTGTGCTTTAGTTCTAGTGCATTCTTTAGATATTTTCAGACTACATATGAGTGGCAATTAGTACCGTATGGGAAGAGCTTATAAAACTGTTATTCTTATTCCCTTCAGCTGCAGTTCCTATCAACTTGGCTGGTATTGAAATTATTGTATTACGTATGTTATATTAAATTATATTATATAATAACATATTATATTAATGCAGCATTATTGCCTATTCAATTTTCTTGTCCGCTCGTGTTAATAAGTATAGCTGCCATTGCTAATCACCCCTAATAATGAATGTTATGACAAAGCATGAATGTATGTATGATGGTAGCATTCATGAATGTATGCATGATGGTAGCATTCATGAATGTATGCATGTTGATAGCATTCATGAATGTATGTATGTTGATTGATAGCAGAGGTGTGGACATCTGTTTGTTGTGAGGGCAAGGGTGCTGGTAGGAATGGAGTAAATACACATATAGGGGGATGTGATGAGGGGTGATGTGTACGTGGTGTGATGAGGTGAGAAGGAAACAACTGATGGTTGAATGTGAGATGAATGAGAGAGACAGCTGGTAATGATGTCGGTGAATGTAAATGTGGTGGTGAGCGAGATGGTGTGGAGAGAGATGGTGTGGGGTATGAGAGAGATTGTGTGGGGTATGAGAGATGGTGTGGGGTATGAGAGAGATGGTGTGGGGTATGAGAGAGATGGTGTGGGGTATGAGAGAGATGGTGTGGGGTATGAGAGAGATGGTGTGGGGTATGAGAGATGGTGTGGGGTATGAGAGAGATGGTGTGGGGTATGAGAGAGATGGTGTGGGAATTTGGTGAGAATTTGAAGGCTAAAAAGAGAGGATAAGAATGACAGAAATAAGTTTGATGATTGGTGGACTACCTATAAAAAGTGAATAAACAATAACCATAAGAAAGATCGGCTTCCAACATTATGTTCCAAGATGCACGATTATTTTTTTAACTTAAATGTATGTTAGTCAATTAGGATGTTAACAATGTTTGCGAAAATCCTAATATCTTTAATTGAGATAAATTTTAATCTTATTGGAGCGCGATGACTGAAAATTTTGGTTGCATGACAATGAGCCGACAAAAGGTCATCTGCCGTTACCACGCCCTCAATTTAATTTCATTAATTCAATACGAAATCTAATTTAATTCAAATCCGAGTATACCGACCTAATTTAATTGGAATTTAGCACAGTATTACTAAATTGTATTATCTCCTCAGTTAAATTTATAAACTGATCCAACGATTATCGTCTTTAATGTGTTATAACTTCTATCGTTATTAGGAAGAATCTTTATTTTATTAATTTAATGAGAAATCTCATCTAATTAGGATCCGAGTATGCTGGTCTAATTAATTTTTCGACGAAATTCAACGGTTGTAAAATTTAAGATTTATATTTTAAATCTGAGAATGTTATTGTAATGGAAATAGATCATTTAAGCGCTAAAAATTTACTTTTTATTTGGAGAACTTTGTTAAAACTGGGTCGCATTACATGATAAACTTGTTTTTTTAACAAACTTTCATAAGTTATTTGCGTTGCATCCCCATTTTTACAATAACAGTTCCGATGCAAATTTATAAATACTCACTTCGTCTTTCTCATGAAGCCAATTGTCGATTCGATCAGTTCTTATTAACGTGCAACTGATGCATAGCCATATATTATACTGTATATGGCTCTTCTTATATAGGAGCATGCGTATAACGCTGTAACTTTCTCGTTCAATATTAACATTTTTTTATGCTAGTCAGTGAATTAGAGACATGTGTTGCAAATAATGGCAGTGTTTGCTGCCTTATTCCGGTGTGCGGTACAATAGTTATACTAAATTTTTCTGTACAATACAATATTTTTACAATACTAAAATTTCTGTACAATAGTTACTAAATTTTTAGTTTATATAAACTTTTTTGAAAGATTTGTGGCATTCTGATCGAGGCCGTCAAAAGAAAGATTGCACGTGATTAATGCAACATGGAATAAAAAAATCTGGATGTACTGTAGGGTTTTCGAAGAGAGGGAAACAATTTTTCTTGAACACTGTAAAAAAGATGGGCTTACTTTACGGGACTTTTTAACACGTTGACTACGATTGCTTCATCTAGTACTATTATTTCATTTTTTGTACTTTTTTTAAGCAGGATTGCCAGACGGTTATTTTTTTCCGGACAAATTCCGTGATTTAGTTTTTCTCAATTGCGTTGGCCGGCTAAAATTTATGATAGGGGTACTTCCTAATTAAATTTAAATACTGCAAAAAGAAAATAAATGGGATTTTTATAGCGGAACCTACAAATAAACTAGTATACATTGAATTATCGGCCTTTTTTGGCCTTTTTTGTTCTCGGATTTAGCCGATTGTAGGCAACCTTAATTATGTACCACTACCTCCTGGAGAAATAAATTTCGTGGTACGCATATGTACCAATACGTAGTCAACGTGTTAAATTGCTGAATCAAATTGCAGCAAAATCTGGGAGATTTTTCTAGAGCAGAGCATTATGTGATCCTGATATAAAACAGGAACAGCTGAGCTCGGCAACACAGCAGCATCAACAAACATGCACTCTCAGCGGCATGATCAATAGTGCAAGAACTCCACGTAAATTCCTGCGTAATTGCTTCATAATTCAATAAAGAAAATATTAAAACATAAATATTACGAGTTTAATTTACGTCATTTTAAGTTTTCCGTCCATGCGTTCATAATGCTGCGTCTCGCGAGCACGTCAGTGTTGCACTGTGCGACCACACCCTGACTTACAATATCGGCCGTAATTCCACTTTAAAGCTTCAGAGTAATTTTCTGCTAAACTGCTACGGAGATCACAGGAAAGGCTGTAAATTTAACAGCCCTTGAAGGCAAGCGCGCAACTACACACCATGATTTTTAGCGCATTTTCTCATTTATGGAAAAAATGCACTATTGTGCTCGCCATGTCCGTCTGTCCGTCCGTCCGTGACTTCACGTTTTCGTCGACGAGAAAATGCGCTCTCTGTCACTCACTGCAGTGAGTACTGAGTTATATTTTTTTGTGTTAGTGTGTTCTTGTTGACACACTTGTGCGCTCCTGGACCCACGTTTGGTACCTATAATAGATTTTATGAAAGGCTTTAATCGAGTGAAGTGATGATGTCAGGCTGTTATATATGATAGCCATAGCACATAATAATTACTAATTTATTTGAATCCGCAGTTAAATATGCTATTCTGAATTTCTATTAGATCATCTTTAATTTTCTCAATTTGTTTGACATTATTTTTAATTATTTTTCTCTTAAATAATAGTCATACTCATGAACTACATAAATTGTTCTGAATAAAAACACGTTTCGTTTGGTAGCATTTTGGATGCGTAAGGAAGTCGAGTAGAGTTAGCCGAGTAGAAGAGTTTCATGTACACAGTCCCATGTGTAAGTCACATGAGTTTACGATCACGAATCACTTATTTCTATCCTTCAAGAGACGCGTACTAACAAAACTTTACGATCACACAAGACTTCTGTGTAGTTGTTGCCCCGTGTAAACTGCTGCAGAGTGTGCGCCACGACAAGGCATATTACGTTGGTGTGGTGTCGCCTCTTTATTTCGGTGCCGTACTCTTTATTTTTTATTTGCTCTCTTGCGTTTCTACGTATAAATCATAATTATGAGATCCATGCACTCAATTCATAGTTTTTTTTGTCGCGAACATTTCATTAATTATTATTTTTGGACATTTTGTATCAATTAATTTTTTAACATCCGTAAAGTTTTTCTTGTTATAACTTTCAGCCCTCGTGCCGATGCTCACACCAGTTCTAACCTTGTCTCCTACAGGCAAGCGGGTCCGAGGTGGTGATCCAGATCCCTGAGGAGCAGGTGAAAGATCAGGATGGATTTTATAGGCTGGATTACAAGCCTCCTCAAGGGATACCTGTCCCTAACTCCACGTTCACCCCGCAAGAGATGGCAAGGGGGGTGAAACTGAAGCATGCTCAGCCTGGTATGAGGTATGACTTTGAGTTGTACTACAGCAACGCTACCATCAACGACTGGGCTACCTGGACTGCTACCATTACAACAAGTGAGAGCTTATTGTGTACCTACTAATTAGTTGAAGGTGTTACCTGTGCATTTGGTACTAACGGTACCTACAGTAAATTTTGAAGTTTGTGCAATTTGTACTAAAAAGTTTTGTTCAGCTCCTCAAACGTATACTTATTATTTAAAGTATGGTACTGCTTACTTATATTTACGGTTATCGTCAGCACGCAAATATTCGCACTTACGTGTTTTTTAAAGTAAATTGTGTTCACTTTTGAGTGATGTTACTGTAAAAAAGATGGGCTTCCTTGATGGGACTTGAATCTCAAAAGAAAGTGGGTGTAACTCGACACCCAAGTCGTCCCTCTGTGTTAAAAGTTGGTTTGCAAATTCATTCATTGAATTTAAATTCATGATAATATAAAGTTTTATTCGTTTTTTTATTATGGTAAAACAATATATATATTTATTTATATAATCATAAACTAATTGTGAATGCCTGACATTATCAGTTGACCAGTACTCGATCACGAATTGCTGTCACAAATCCACCAGTTTGCATTCTCTGGATTTGGTTAACTTAACTTCTTTGTATTTCGCCTTCAGCTCCCGCGATGCCTGAGAACCTGAACATCAACGTTGACACTCTGAAGCTCGCTCTCGTGTCCTGGGACCCACCGAACTCCGGCGGCTACTCAGCCTTCAAGCTCAAGGTCTGCTTCATCTTAGGTTTTAACTTGATTATTATCTTTAATTAATTCTATGTTATTACTCAAGGTCTGCTTCATCTTAAGTTTTAAATCAATAATTATCTTAATTAATTCTATGTTATTAATCCTCAATTGATATAGTTGGAGCATCAACGATTCTTCTTGATCTAATAAGAATGACGAAGGAAAATGAAGCAGAAAATCTTCAGTTTAGTGTAGAACATGATACCGACTGCCTCCTGGAGTACCGAGGCAAATGGCATCAATTAAGACGCCCGAGTCGCGCCATGAGTACCGAATTAGGGTTCTTCAATCTGAATAAATAATTCTATACTAAGTTGAAAGATAGTCTCTATCTTCGAGCATGAAGCAAGAAGTTCGACATTGTGAGTGAAACAGAAACAGTTTTAGTAAAGCACTCTGCGCATTCCGTTAGTAACGATCATGACTGTTCGAGTCAACTTGACCCACAACGTATTGTGGAGTAGGGGTGGAAATTGCGACACTTGCCCAAAGGGGCATGCGTTCTCCGTCATTGTCTGGTTCTTGCGAGCGCGTGCGTATGAGAACAACGCTCCACTTTCACTGTCTGCTGCTGCTGCTTCCGCGCAGCGCCTGCTGCTAGAGGGAAAATATCGGCTTGTCGGTGGCCGACATTCAGTCATTAAGTGGCTATAGCGCTGAATTCCGGCATTTAGTGGTTATAGCGCTGAATTCATGCATTTAGTGGTTATAGCGCTGAATTCAGGCATTTAGTGGCTATATAGCGCTGGATTCAGGCATTTAGTGGTTATAGCGCTGAATTCATGCATTTAGTGGTTATAGCGCTAAATTCAGGCATTTAGTGGTTATAGCGCTGAATTCAAGCTTTTAGTGGTTATAGCGCTAAATTCAGGCATTTAGTGGTTATTGCACTGAATTCAAGCATTTAGTAGCTACAGCGCTGAATTCAAGCATTCAGTGGTTATAGCGCTGAATTCGAGCATTTGTGGCTACATCGCTGAATTCAAGCATTTAGTGGCTATAGCGCCGAATTTAAGCATTTATAGTGGCTACAACGCTGAATTCAAGCATTTAGTGGCTGAACCAATGAACCCAGCATCAAGATTTTAAGCATAAAGCGCCATCTTGATGTATTGCATTGTTTATCTTTGAATATGAATGTTACAACTGAACTTTATGCACATAATTTTGCTGCAGAGTTTTATATGATTCTGGAGATGTATAGCAAGAGTATATGTTCTATAGGATTCATTTTGTAAGAAAGTTGGTTTTACGTTGAGGCACATATTTCCGTGTGATTTTTGCGGATAAAGCATGTTGGAAATTGAGGTTGCGAGGCTAAGATATACAGTGACTTATATTATTCGATCGCAATGAACGCTTCTATCCTGTGAGAATTTGCACGCTTTGAGGAAATATTAATTGAGCGATTTCCGCGTTTATTTTTCTAGTGGTAGGTAGACTATATGAATTTGTAAGATGTTATTTGTTTTCATTTGGAGATTAGATGGATGCAGAGACTCATGATCCAATATCAATCATGATATTGTCGTGATATCATGATCATGATATATCAATCATGATCAATATGTCGGCTGATTAGGAGCAATGGACGTATTCGATTGTCGGATGTTTGTACAGTCATATGCACTGCTGTTGATGCTGAGCTGTATATCGAGATTAGTATATCGATTTAGTATATCTAGATTAAGAGATACGTATAAGCTGTTCTCTTAGGCTGTAACATGAATTGTTATGATGGTTAAGCTTCTGGAAAGCACGACTTTACTTAGCTTGTATCTGTTTTAATACATTTTACAACCGTAACTCAATATGCGGTATGACTACCACTGTACCGCGCAGGAAGTAAACAGAATACTGGACTCGGTTATGAAAAAAATGTACGTGAACCTTTCACGATTGGTGAATGCCTTTCATGATGTCACGTGGTATACGAAGTAGTGCGAGTAGGTGCGTGGTATACGAAGTAGTGCGAGTAGGTGCGTGGTATACGAAGTAGTGCGAGTAGGTGCGTGGTATACGTGGTAGTGCGAGTAGGTGCGTGGTATACGTGGTAGTGCGAGTAGGTGCGTGGTATACGTGGTAGTGCGAGTAGGTGCGTGGTATACGAAGTAGTGCGAGTAGGTGCGTGGTATACGAAGTAGTGCGAGTAGGTGCGTGGTATACGTAGTAGTGCTAGTAGGTGCGTGGTATACGTAGTAGTGCTAGTAGGTGCGTGGTATACGAAGTAGCGCGAGGTAGGTACACGTAGCAGTAGCCTTGTAGCGCTAGTGGGTACACGTAGCAGTAGCCTTGTAGCGCTAGTGGGTACACGTAGCAGTAGCCTTGTAGCGCGCAGTAGCCTGAGGGTATATATAAGCGCGCGTATGGCACTGTGAACTTTACTGTACGCGGTTGACTGCTGCACGAAAGTTCAGCGTCGGAACATAAGCCTGCATGACGCGCGCAACTGGGGCGAGGTCAGCTCCAGCGGGAGCTCTGGGCATTGCGCATGATATAAGAATGAAATATGCTATGTAGGTTCCGAATAAAAAATGCCACAATATCAAATATATTTATATTAAACTTTATTTGATCACTCGATCGCACGGTAATCACTCGAACTTGCAGGCTATTATGGTAATTATCTTTATTACTTGCATTCCTTTGAATTATTAGTTCTGTATAATATCTACATCGCCATAATTAAATATCGTGAAATTATAATTTTGAGGGTATATTTGGCTCATCATGTAGTTATTAAACATTAAGCTATGATTTGATTGAAGAGATCTATTTTAATATCATAGAACTTGACGTAATCATGACAATATCTACCGACTGAAGAGATCTATTTTAATATCATAGAACTTGACATAATAATGACTATATCTGCCGACTGAAGAGATCTATTTTAATATCATAGAACTTGACATGATCATGACAATATCTGCCGACTGAAGAGATCTATTTTAATATCAAAGAACTTGACATAATAATGACAATATCTGCCTGTGATCTCAAACCTACCATTCACGTCCCGTGGAACGCTTTCAACTGTATAATTCAACAATTTAAAGCTGTAAACTCGTTCTCCATACTGGTAAATTCCTAAGTCGTTACGACAATTTCCTATTCTAGTCCCGAGCGCAGCTCCGTTATACTCCTATTATCTTGAATTACCGGATCGACAAGATCAATTTACTGTGGAAAGAAAGTAGTGATCACGAGTAGCGTAACTACTTGTACTTAATGGCAGTCACCGCAGGCGCACATGGAGCGATGTACTGCTAGAGTATGCAATTAAACGCTCTCCGAGTCATGGATAATCTCTGGTTAAACTCTATCTCATGTTCTGCTCGCTAACGGTTAAGTATAGAAAATGATCAAACGTGCGCCTTATTTTTAAGTTCATAATACTATTGTTTAATCGTTAATAATTCAATCTCAGCCATTTTCAGTAAACATGTTTTTGGTCGTGAGGCCTTTAATCGTGAACAGCAATTGTTCATGAAGAGTAGAGATGAAAGGTTGAAATATCGAGTAGGAGAATAGTTATAAGCCTCCTCAGAAGATCATTAAATTTATATATTAGCGTCATGCTCAAAAAGTGCCTCGGAGTTCTCACTATAACATAATAATGAGTATATATTGATAACTTTCATTCTCACTCGTGCTACGCTATAGTTGGATGGCCTAAACTTGGTACACGTCTCGGCATTTGCCACAGTATTCCTATAGCTGTTCCCTGGAACGTTCGTTTTAGCTGAATGTTTGTGCGCTCAGGAATGCTGCTTTTGTGCAGGTGAATAATAATAAAAATAATAATAATACCTACTCACAATAACTCGAGTAGTGATATCATTGATGGTAGTAGCATTGAAGATTTCACCCAGAAAAATGAGTGAGAGTTGGTCCAAATTGCAAAGTACTTTTTGCCATTGTGTGATTTATCCTGACCCTGTTTGGCTCGGCAAAATATATCTGTGCTGAGTGCAGAAAGTGTCACCATTGGAACAACCAGACCCAATAATATTTCTGAGTGAATTCAGGGAACTTATACACCGATCAATCAGTTTGTGACGATGCGCATTGAATGAATCGTACGTGTTCGACCAGCCCAGTTTTCGGGACATGACACGTCCACAATAATTGCCTAATGTCAGCAGTTATCAAGAAAAAGTAATGAGGCTTTTTGTTCAAATAGAGACAAATTTTTTCCCCGCAGCATTGAAACATCATGTTCCGGGCCTAGTTTATATATGTAGGATGACTCAGACTAATACAAATGCGATATGGAGAACGACCAATATAGCACGTTTTTTCCAATTAGTGATAAATTTCTTCCTCGTAGCATCGAAACACCATGTTCCGGTCCAAGTTTATATAGGATGACTAATACAAGTGCAATTTAGAGAAGGACCAATATTGCACGTAATTTGATGAATGCTGTTTTTTTTTGTTGTAGGTGACTCCGTTATCGGAACCGCAGAGCAGCATCCGTAATTTCGTGGTGACCGAAGACCAACTTCCGTTCCACTTGTACGATCTTACACCAGGGGCATCATACCAGCTCCGCCTGTCTACTGTCTACGAGAAGAAAGAGAGTGTCGTTTTTATTTCTTCTAATTTTACTACACGTGAGTAACTCTGAGAATAAAAAGTTGAGTGAGAATAGTTGTCAATAAAAAAAAATAAAAAGTTGAGTTGAGAATAAAAAAGTGAGTAACTCTGAGAATACACATGAACTTATGCGTTCATGTGTAGTTTGAAATATAACTAAATTTAAACGCGAGTGCATAAAATATACATGTAGATTATTTAACCTCAAGAAGCCTGTAACTTTATTTAAATACTAAGAATTTAAAAGCAAATAATAGTCCACAAAAATTCATATCTTTATAGAAAACTTTATATCTCTTTATTTAAATAGCTTTAATATTGTTTTTGTAGCCGATTTGCAATTGGAGTTGATTATTTCTGCACAGAATACCCACATGAAATATGTTCTTTCTGAGTGAGCAATGCTTAGAAGTCTACACATAATCTTCGTCCGCTAACCTCAAAATCTTCGTCTGCTAACCATGATCAGTCTAGGCGTGACTACACGCTTATAAAGTCTTCATGCTCCATTAGGTCTTTTCTCATGCTTGATTAAATCGAAATGCAACAAAACTACTCGCTTCTTTCGATGCTAAAATTGAATTAAGTAACGTATATCCGTAACGTGCATTTCAGATTACCAGTTTATACTGATCATTTCCATTTCTCTGGCTCATCTTAGCTACCGTTATGATGAGCATATAAAAATTTATATGTTTGAACATTTACATATAGATAGCATTTCCCCATCATCGAGAAAGCTACGCTCTTTGTTGTGATAAATTCTCACGCTTTCTCTCGTTCCTGTGTCCCGTGAAGCTAAACTCAGTCTCACAGCTAGTTAGATTTTTCTAGAATTTCTGCTAATTAGCTTATATTTTTTAGAATATTTTATAAAATTTTGTTTGAATAATCTTTTTGTAAATTGGAGCAATATTTAACTAAAACATCTTTATATATAGATATTTACTGCGGCAGCATTCACAAGCTCAATTGAATTACTTCCTAATCATGGGCGCGCTAAAACTTTCGTTCAGATATAAATAGTCTACAACTGCTTGTCGATTTCATGGGACTCGTTGCGGCCACTTTATTATGTTTAAATACTAGCTTCCCTTTATTCCATTATTTAACATGACCGTTTATTTAATTTTTATTTAATTCATTTGATCTTTGAGTATAACACAGTACTACTGTGAAGCTGAAATAAGTCCATCTCTTCAATCAGGATATATTAATGTTCATGAATTACAACTATCTAATTGTACGAAATATTCCTCGCAATGAAGGTTTGAAGACCACAAAACCGACTGATTCATGCATCGCTGGACTGGTAATGTTAACTCCCGACGCACCTCTAACGATTCTCTTGACGCGGTACCGCGATGTAGAAAAATGTTCTCAGGGTCTCACGATGAGATCAATTCTGGTCGTTGTGGCCGTGGCACGACAGCCGTAGATAATCCAATTACTCTGGCGCAAAATCCTGTTATTGTGCACGGAATGACTGGCCGCTTCTGCCATGTTGAATCCGTCTGATTTTACAACCCTTCGGTAGGTATTTTTCGTTGGGTTTAACCATCTAGTAACATTTTTAACCTGAAGCTTCTGCCATGTTGAATCCGTCTGACTTTACAACCCTTTCGTAGGTATTTTCGTTGGGTTTAAAGCACCGTTTAACCATCTAGTAATTTTTTTAACGCAATCGGTTTACCTATTCGTCCAGTTTTTAGCAATCACTTGTTCTTAAAGAGGTTTTGATAAGGGATCTTATTTGGATAATGACGTAAAACTTTTGAGTTTTATCTTCCCGCCATCGTAAAGAGATGTAAATAGATAACGTAATGATTATTTAACATGAAGTTAAATAACCATTTTAAGGATCTTCAAACCTTCAGATTTTTAGACTAAGGATATATTTTACTAAGGTTACTATTCAACTCAATAAGTCGAGAGAACGAAATGCTTACTAATTTTTTTGAACTAAATTTTTATTTCTCAACGTAAAGTAACATAAATGCTGTCTCAATACTAACATGTCTAGCACTTTGCAAAGCCGGGTCAGACTTGCGCTGAGTGGTCACTTTAACGTCACTCTCGAGTGTGACAGCTTGAGTGGTGTTGTCTCTATGCCCACTCTGTTGTGCTATCTGTAGCGTCTCGCGACTTTTTTTTAGTAGCAGAAGTGGTGGTAAACACGCTAGATTTTTTGTATTTCTCTCTAACTTTTCTTTTTTTTTCTTCTACCTCAAATTATTAGATTTTATCTAGAAAAAAGATTTCCGATATCAAAGACATAAATTATGAGAACGAATTTTAGTATTATTTGTGTGTTAAAATAATTTAATATGTGATGTTTAGTAAATTATCCAACATATTTTGTTTGATGGCATTCGTTTGTAAATCTGACTCTAAAGTCCACAGAAAGCAATGCTTTTCTACATCCGCTCTCTTCGTCTCTGGCAATAATTTTTTGTATAATATTTAGCAAGCATCGCATTTCTCGCTGTCTCATCCATAAAAAATATGTTATCGGTCCGTACTATCAAAGATTGCTTTAGTACACGTAGCTGCATAAACACGGGTGCTTAATGGCCAGAGAATTCAATTTTAATTTTCAGGGTCAAACAATATTCTTCAGATGACATTAGTTGATCAAAATGCAGGTTCAAGGGAGTAATTTCAATTTATTAACGACGTTTCGAATGTATTTCAATTTATTAACGATGTTTCGAATGTATTTCAATTTATTAACGACTTATATTACATTAACTGAGACAAGCTGCATAAGTGCACGTATAGCGGCAGGTTCCTCGTCTGCAATTGTTGGTCTTATATTGAAAAGCCGTCCGTGACTGGCTGACTGGCTGGCGGATCAAGTAAGGAACTCATGACGATGTTTAATATTATTGGCTATGGTGTACATGTGAGCTGGCTGACTGGCTGGTGGATTAAGTAAGGAACTCGTGACGATATTTAATAAACTGTTAGAAAAATGACCGTTAACGGTATTACCGGCGTTTCAGTGGCCGGTCGGCACGTGAAAAAAAACACCACGTCGCCGTTTTTATTCCAATTTAACACCAGAAATCCGTAAAAAATCTGATAAAAACGGCGAAACAGTTTATTTTCACGGGGCGACCGGCCACTAGGACACCGGTGGGACCGTTTTTTCACCGTTTTTTTTCTAACAGTGTATTATTGGCTATGATGTACAGGTGAGCATTGACCCCGCGGACGCCGTGGAGAGCGTCCTGAACGTTGAGAAGGACGGCGAGCCTCCCGGTCCTGCGCAGGCTGCCTTCCACGGCCTCGTGCCTGGTGAGGCATTTCACTTAGTAGCTTCTGCATGATCATCTTGATTAAATAAATAATACATTTATTATAATGAATATTATATAAAATAATTACTATAAATTCATGATAATCATCTGATTAAATACAGATTTAATCTAATTCATTTATTATACTGAATATTATATTAAAAATTACTATAAGTTTATCATAATTATTAATTGAATATAATAGTATCGAAAGAAAACTAATAAATGCGAAGTAATTTGATTTCAATTATTTACTTGAAAATTCTTGAATTAATGTTGTTTAAATTTTGACATAAGGTGATGACACGAATATGTGTGTTCAGGTGAGTTTTTGACAACTCCACGATCTTGCTAGTTACAAGTTAATGTTGGCTGTTTGAGATGTCATGGTTTTTACAAATTTTTGTTCTCTTTTTTTTTTTAATATTTACTTCATGTTTCGGACTAATTTTCTTGATTGTATTTTTAACGTACAATATTCACTGGTTCTTATGATTATGAGAATTATTTGTACTACGATAGAATGACACAGCTTAATACGAACGTTAGAAACGTATTGAAAACTTATTTTGTTGAGATGGATATTGCGTAGGGATTGCCTCTGTTATAATTTAAAACCTGTTTTTCTAAACAAGTGCAGAAGGTTTCCTAGTGGTTTTCTGGAATAATCGAGCAGTGAGTAGTAAAATCATGTTCTACATTGAGTAGTAGCGCAGTGCGAAAAATTGAATTTTCATTTCGAACTTCTATTTAGATTGAACCACAGCTTATGCTGTTGAATTAAAATCTTGAGTTATGGTTAATTCAAAGCTTGAGTAGATGTTTAATTGGAACTTGAGTTTAACTTCTCAAAAGTTTGAATTCCTGTTTAACTAATTAATATACATGTAGTATATTAATTAGTTAAACAGGAGTATTTAGTTTTTTATTTACTTAGTTTTTATTAACAGTTTTTATTAGTTAAACAGGAGTTAAACAGGAGTTAGTTCTATACATACATGTAGTAATGAATTTAAAGTTTTAGTTTACCGTTGAGTCCAAATGACTGAGTCTCGTGGTTGTATCGTAGCTATGATACACACTAGCTCCGTGACACGTAGCACGCACGTGTTGCGTGCCACGGCGATCAAGGCCGTCATGCCGTCGATGCTTCGGTGTGGGAGTGCCGACATTTGGCCGGATGTCTTCCCTGGACCTATACTTTCAAAAAAAGTTAAGAGATCGTAAGTTCATCCGCCAATCATTGACGGCCTTTCAAGCAAAATCCACCAATCATAGACAAGAAAATAGAGCGTAAGTACTTACGTTCACTTAGCGAATTTTGAAAGTATGGCCCCTGGCATCAACTTAAATTGTGATACTGAGGCCAACCTATCATTATATAGGTCGGCAGATGGGATCCCAAATTATTTTTTATATAATTGATAGTGATCGTGACGTTGACTTATCATTACTTGGGTCGATAAAGGGGATACAAAACTATTCTTTTTCCCTCCAAGTTCTGAAACTGACACAGACTCATCAGTACAGGAGTCGGCAGAGACTATAACCAATCAAGTCTATTCAATCATATCCGATATTGACGACGACGGGTATCCTACGTGTCAAAATGGGTTGACAGGTAGGATACTTAATCTTATTTCGATACAATCATTTCGGATAATAAGGACGATTTAGCATTACACGGGTGGCTAGTGAAGATAGATACCATTTTGATCTATACATAGTCGAGAGATGAATAAATCATATGACTAGTAACATTTGTTGCAATTCGGAGCGGTCATAAAATCAAACGAAATTGCGTGACTTAATTTCGAGCAAAATCTTGTAAGGTCATGACATTCATGTTCTTATGTCGATGAAGCGCAACATAGTCCGTAAAATCCGATTATTAGCCTATTATAGATCGGCTGCTGGTATCGCCGATGTTACAGGTGTTTGGGTTGCTTATGTTATAGTTAGGTTGCATACAGCATAAATGGCGTTTTCGGGTGTAGGTATCAGAAATTTGGTGTAGATATTGTAGATTTTTGATGGCGTTTTAGGGTGCGAACATTATAGATGGCTGAGATTGGCATATTGCACATTTCATAGATTTTGTTGTGAGGTGTGAATGGTGTCAATTCCATCAACCATTCGAGATATTGGTCTATAGGTAGAACAATTAAGCTTTATATAACTTAAGCAGCTATCACCAGCTCAATTGGTGGACACGTATCACGCACTTGATCAGATTTTGTAGTTTTGCATGCTTTTTACTATTATTTGCTTGCAAGTTGCGCAGGTGTTGAGATAACTCAAATGTTGATAACTAAAATTGCTTTTTAGCGCATTTTCTCATTTATGGAAAAAAATGCTCTATTGTGCTCGCCATGTTAGTCTGTCTGTCTTTCTGTCTGTCTGTCTGTCCGTCTGTCCGTCCGTCCGTCCGTGACTTCACGTTTTCGTCGACAAGAAAATACGCTCTTTGTCACTCACTGCAGTGAGTACTGAGTTATATTTTTTATTGAAAGCCTAATACAGCTTCTAGGATCAACACAATAATAGTATCATTTGTTGTCCTCAAAGTGTTTCACTCTTTAATTGTAAAAAGAGAACTTTCTAAATCAGATCATACCATTCACCGCCTCGTCTCAAGGACACCAGTCATTTTTATCCTACAAGTTTCTTTGGGCTTTACAAAAGGGAATCCTAAGATGTAGCGGTGTGTGTGGTCGCTGAAGTGGTGCACCTAGAACAACTCATTGCCTGGCAAAGAATAAACTCTTCCTGTCCACGTACGTCATGCGAGTCCCGGCGATGTTCTCAATTGCTGGCGACTTCGGAGCTTCCGCGTCTGTTTTTTGGTCTCCGAATGAGTCAATTGTCTTTGTGTCTCGAACGTCCCTGTTCAAACGGCTGTCTAGTGGATTCGATTGTATTTTCCACCACATTCATCACGCTCTAGTGATCCTTTTAATTGATATTGAATTACTTAGTGATTGATGCAACATCGACAGAAAGAGGTGCAAATAATTCAGATTGCTTAATTCGTTACTTGCATTGATTAAGATTGGCTAAATATTGCATTTGAAAATTTCTCCATCGTATCGTTCAGTCCAGTCAAATGTATTGCGGCTGACTGGTGAGCTGGAACGTTCAATTACGCTCCCAACCACCGCTTTCTGATCCAATAAAAGTGTCCGTTTACAATACGCGAGTTTGCGAGTTGCTTACACATTTGATTGCCGAGATCATGTCCAACATGAACCAACAATGGATCATTACGTGTCTGGAGTTGAGGTTGCAGCATAGACGCCGTCCACAAGCAATAATGTCACTAGATTGCTTGAATCGCAGATTCACTAGAAATTTAAAAGCGAAGAAAACTCCACAAAAATTCAGCATTTCCCTATTGAAAACGTTTCGGAGACCAGCTCCGTCCAGTTTCAAAACGAAATCACCATGAATGAACCCGGGATTTTTAGAGTATCATGTTTCGATGGCTTAGTTTCATTTAGAGTATCTTAGGTCTAGAGTATCGTAGGTTTAGAGTATCATATGTATAGAGTATCGTAGGTTTAGAGTATCGTAGGTTTAGAGTATCATATGTATAGAGTATCGTAGGTTTAGAGTATCGTAGGTTTAGAGTATCGTAGGTTTAGAGTATCATATGTATAGAGTATCGTAGGTTTAGAGTATCGTAGGTTTAGAGAATCGTAGGTTTAGAAGGGTCGCGGGTTTTGAGTATTGTAGGTTTAGAGTACCTTAGTTTTACAGTATCGTAAGTAGGTAGCAAGTATGAAGATTCTGCGATTTCCAGTGATACTTATAAATCCATTTCTTATTTAAAAGGATTTCAACAGTTGGGAAATAGCGAATGGTTTTAGATTGGTAACTACTCTGTAGCCCGAAATATCTAACAGACCTGATGCGACTGGGAATAAAAGACTTGAACATCTACTGACGAATGTTATAGACCAAGCGCTGATGTACATAAATGGTTTTTCTTTGAGACGTATAGACTCCAGCAGATGAAAAACATCGATAGGTCATCGATCTTGAGAAACTCCATTGCAGGAATACATAACTTCTTACTGAAAGGCTTGAGGATATCACTGCTTGAAGTAAAGTACAGAATGCAGACCCAGAATAGCGGTTGACTGTAGGTAATGAACGTACCATGCAATACTGTCCGGACTGCAACAGAGGTGAGAGGCCCGGGCTGTTTCAACCGTCGGTGCGCGCCTCTATATTCTGGTTTCAAAGTAACGCGGTTCAGGGAACCCGTGACCTTGACCGCGCTTCTAGGGGCAGTTGCCTCGCATCTGAACTTTGAATTTCAAGCCTTCCTTTGCTTTGTGGCCTCAGTGCTGAATTTTACTCGTATCGCAGTCTCAGTGGCTATATAAGACCCCGGAATGAAGCCAGTTTCGATGGCGTAGTCTGCCCTTCAAAAGAGCACATCCATTTGTTATTATTTCAAATGTGCATTTACCACAAAATTTCCTCCTAAGTTACCAGAGTTTTTCATGAATTTAATGCGGTTATTTCTCATAGGGTAATTCAGTTATATTGAAGTCGCTTGAGGAGAAAAAGCCTGACGCCACCGAGTCGGGTTCAAGATTCTACAGGTGTGGCAATACAGTGATCCATGCAATGAATCCTGATCAAACATCCGCCACGTGCTGTACGTCTGCTCAATTCATTCCGCTTCATAGGCTTGATTTGACCCTCCAAATTTTTAATATGGAGCTGAATGAGACTATTAAATTTCAACGATTTGATTTTTAGATTGAACAGAAGTTGATAATTGATTTTAGATTAAATTTTGTGATTTAGATAGTAAACATTATAATTGGGTTGCAAACATTGAAAGGAATTTATAAAAGTATAAATCATCTTAAAAAATGATATGGTAGTGCTCTGAAGCTTGTTACGGCTGATCGTGAGAAGTACCGTGAGATATCCCAAGTCTTCCAGTTTCACTGGATACACAATCCGTGCTTCAAACCGGATTCCTCACAAATTCAAAAGGACACTGATCATCATTGTGATGCAAATTTTACCGGATTCCTCACAAGTTCTGAAGGACTGATCATCATTGTGATGCAAATTTTAGCACACCTTCATTGTTAAGGAGCTTTGCACGAAGGTGTTGTGTCCAGGTCGAACGGTCGGTCTGAAGGCCAACGACTGCATGCATGGCACGGTGAGCTCATCACAGGCTGGCTTGCCTGCTACAAGGCTCGCTCACTCGCGTGATCTACTGTCATTGGTCATCTCTAGAGATTTTCTAAAGAGATATGCAATATGTGCGATTTTTTAAACTCATTCGTTCTAATTTGTTGTACTGTAGTACATACATACTTTAGACTCCAAAATTCTAACTTTGCAAGAATTACAATATTTTTAGTGCTATTTATGATTACTCTGCAGTCGAATAAATCTTTATATATCAAAACGAAATTTGGCTATGGACAGTCCGTTTCTTGTCCGGGTTTCATGCTGGTTTTCTATAATGCCCCAGTAACGCCATTTATAGAGAAGGGCAAGCTGAAGACGAAGTCACTGGATATGCGGCAATCGTCATCGAGTGTCGCAACTTCCGCTGTCCATGGCGGAATTGGAATGTGAGCGCAGAACTCTAGCTCGTGTCTTGTCTTCAATGGCGATCCCATGCTGTGCTCCTTGTGGTTCATAAATTGAGTTAGTTCGTCTGCTGGTAATTTTGGTGTATGCATTGCTGCTCATATCACGATTGCAAACGTATGCACTGCTGTTCATATCAAGATTAGGTTCACATGAGACGCTTGCAGCAGTTTTGAAGCTTAGCAGCTCTCAAACTCGATGAAAATCTCGTACGACACTCCTTGAAAGTGTGTCTTGACGCACCTTAAGGATGTTTTGACACACCTCCCCTTAATTTAATTCAATTAAAACATTCGGTTATCATTTATTGAATACGCATAAAATGTCTATTGTGTACATATGTAGATAGTTCTTGTATATATAGATTCTGGCAGCTTTTCGATTTTAAATTCTGAAATGACAGTCCCGACGAATGAACTGCACCGGGGTGAAATATTCGGAAATTAGATGCAATCGCCGCCACTGGCGTTCTACTAAACGAGCTCCTAATTTTAGAAGACGCATGTAGAACTCTCAAAAATATAATCTTCGTTTACTCAACTTTTTATTACTGAACAATTTCTGAACGTTTACTCAACTTTTTATTGCTGAACACTAGTGCTATTCGTGCTCGAGAATTGATAATCGAGAATTTGCTCCTCGACATTGTTACAACTATATAATGGTGATGATTGGCGACGCAAATTGGTAAATTTTACGTAAGCAAGTTAAAAGTAGTTACGGAAATCGGTAATTAATGGGTAATGAGAATTACCAACTGATTGATGTTGTTTTTCAAAAATTAATAGCATGAGATACGAATTAATGGCATTGCAAGTGCAGGTTTAGTTCATGTATCCGTGAAGACACGCGACTCGAAGAGTTGTGAATTACTTTTTACAAATTCTGGGTTTAAGCGGCAAAGTTCAATTAAATTTACGCTGCTGACGAGGCTCACTTTTTTTAAACGTCCCCATAGGCCAAGCTACTCGAGATGTCTTATTAGTGCAGTATTGTTTTATCGTCGCAAAGCTAGCACTCCGTCAAGCTGCATCCACTCTAGTCGCGAAGGTCGTCGCAACGCGCCTCAGGCGCTTGCTAGAACAGTCAGGTTTTTGCTCGCGTACATGAAAGCCTTGGTTCTTCCTTGGCTAACTTAATCCAACAGCATGCGATGGTAGCTCGAACATCATCTGTTGGTACCATCATGGGTTGTAAACGCTAATTGTACAGCAATTAGATTGTTTATGAAATTATTTGGTTTTTCTTAAGTATCAGTTGTCGTTCCATGATGAAATGCGTATTATTTAGAGGGAAACGTTGTTACTTACTGTACTGTTTACTTACTTGCTCAATGTTCTCTTACTTAGTCTTCCCTTGCTCACTTACTGTTCCCTTACTTACTTTCTATTCCCTTACTTACTGTTCCCTTTACTATATCATATATGATATATTAGTTTTCTCACTCGATCTTGTGTCATTTAAGTTGAAATTCTAACAATGATTAAATTATTTAAATATTTTTTTTCATGTAATAAGGTATTAATAAGAATAGAAATTATCATAAAATTGAAGTTTATGCCTTACGAAATGACTTGACAGGTCGCGCATACAACATCACCGTAGAGACGGTGAGCGAAGACATGGTCTCTGTACCGACGACACAAGAGTACCACACCATCCCCCCACCCCCCCGCAACGTTACCTTCGACATGAGGCGTCTCACTCCAGACTCCTTCGTCGTCAGATGGGAGGCTCCTAAAGTCAAGGGGTCAGTACCGTCGTCATATTCCATGCTAAGTTTTTATTACCTTACATTAAAAGATGAGTTCGACATGAGGCGTCTCACCCCAGACTCTTTCGTCGTCAGATGGGAGGCTCCTAAAGTCAAGGGGTCAGTACCGTCGTCATTTTCTATGCTAAGTTTGTATTACCTTTCATTAAAAGATGAGTTGATTTATTGCCACGTTTAGGTTATATCAACTTTGATTTAGAAGTTAAGTTAAATTGTTCCACGTTTAGGTTATAACCGGCTTTGATTTAGAAGTTAAGTTTAGTTATTCCACTTTTAGGTTATACCTGCTTTGATTTAGAAGATAAGTTAAATCTATTCCACGTTTATATTATATCAACTTTAATTTAGAAGGTAAGTTAAATAATTCCACGTTTTGGTCATACCGACTTTCATCAAAAAGAAAAGTCTATTATTCCATGTACAGGTTTTAGCGATGTACATGAAATAATTAAGGTGAGTTATTCCATGTATTTGTTTAACAACATTAATTTAAGAGTTTAGGCTAAATACTACATGTTTAAGCTTATGTTATTTTAACTTAAAATTGGGGTAAATCATTTCATATTTAGGTTGAGCGTTTTCGTTCAACATCTAAGGTTGATGAAAGGCTTGATGATGATATTGTATTACAAATCGGTCCATTTACTTATTTCATTATCTTCAATATAGGTACAAATCACCGCAGACTTACTACAAATGGAGACGAATGCAAACATGATCGTGTTGGAATTTAAATCTAAACCTGCATTCACCTATTATTTCACCTTGCTGCTAATTAAGAAAAATTAAATTATCCCGCGTTTAGGCTATACCGACTTTCATTAAATAGAAAAAGTCCATGTACAGGTTTTAGCGACATACACGGAATAGTTGAGGTGAATTATTCTATATATTTGTTTGATAATATTAATTTACGAGTTTAGGTAAATGATTTTGTATTTAGTTTTTAGCGTTTCTCATTCAACAGTCAACGTTGATGAAAGGCTTCTTGATGAGATTGTATCACAAATTGGTCTATTTAGTTATTTCATTAGCTTAAATATACGTATACAAATCACCACAGACTTACTACAAATGGAGACGAATGCAACATGACCGTGTTGGAATTTAAATCTAAACCTGCATTCACCTATTATTTCACCTTGCTGCTAGTTCTTTCGTAAGCACGATCATTATAATAGGTCAATGTGAAATGAAAAGACCATTTTAACTTGAAAGTGTTACCTCACCGTATTGTCGAGCGTTCATTGCTTGACCGCGTTCTGAGAACGCCCTATTCTGGATTCACCAGCAAACCGATGAATGCGCATGAAAGTTCAGTATTTTCTTGTTATTTAATGTTGATCTGTCCTTCACATATTACGTTGAAAAAATATGCAGAGCTCAATTCATGCAGTTTAAAATGTGCAGCTCAATTTTTAGACATCCGCTTTGTTTCATCAAATCGCGTGGTCGAAGAATCATGCTCTATCTAAAAAAACATACAGATATGAAAAAGCATTAATTTTTACACAAGCTTACACTCTGAAGTGAAACCTGACGAAACCGCAGTTCATTGAACAAAACCAGATGCTCAATATTCAGGACCTATACTTTCAAAACTCGCTAAGTGAACGTAAATACATACGCTCTATTTTCTTGTCTCTGATTGGTGGATTTTGCTTGAAAAGCCGTCAATGATTGGCTGATGAACTTATGATCTCTTAACTTTTTTTGAAAGTATGGCGCCTGGTGTGGTCAGGAGCCGACCAGTCAGTTCGCGCGCACGTTCGTCTTGTCGCAATAACTTGACGCAAGGATGCGCTTACATTGCTCATTACTGTGCGGTATGTGCGTCTGTAGCCGCTGTCCAGCTAAAAGCCATTGCACGTAAACTCCATTCGCCTAGTTTTCGCTATTGCTGATATGTTGTTGCTGACACGTCCAACGTTACATCCGACGACGACTCGGAGACGGAGGACGACGAAGGCGGCGCATCAGCGTGACCGTGTACTACGACGTCCTAAACTCATCATAAGGTCATAAGGTGATATGATAAGAAGTTTGAATGATAATTGGTTAAAGTATCAGCAAACTAAATTTTGCAGTCCTAATTTCTTCGGGATGATTGAAATTTCGATCATTTTTTGATATTTTAATTCCTATTACGGGATAAATATTGCGGTATGCGTAAGCTGGAAACACTGCTGCCATTTTATTAATAATATCAACTCAATATTAAAAGTTAGATATATCTGCGGACGACATCACGAGAGTGAATAACATGAAAAATTGTATCTATCAAGCTTAAATCAAGAATGAAGCTATCTCGAAATTTCGCGCCCTGCTCATCCAGAAACAGAGAGTTAAGAAGGAAAATTTATTCTTTTGTTATTCGTGTTTTAATGATGATTTTTGGTACCAAATTCGGGTGATTGTTATCAGAACAGGTGATTTAAGCGACCATGTGTGCTAATCTCATCAGCAGTCTTCTCTGAAAATTGACACTCGTATATTATTATTTCTTCTCTCCTATATTATACGATATATTATATCATATATTATTTTGTATATTATATCGTATAATATCGTATATTGTACGAGATTTTATTATTATTTCTTCCATCGTATATTATAGGTACGTAAACAGGCGGCAGGATAATTTCGTTGCCAATTCTGCATAATGTGACGTAGAAATTGGATCAAATGCCGTGTTGTGCTCACTGCTAGACTTTCTTCAGCTAGCAGTTGAAGCGGTAAAATCTAATTTATCTACTATTCTGCTCTAGTTATTTCACAATTTCAGATAACATTCTAGCTAGATATAACGTTGAGGCATATATGTATCAGTGACATTAAAATTATATTTACTGATCTGCATCGTTGACATTAAAAATGATTTGATCATAAACCAGTAAAAATGATTTGATCATAAATCAGCCTCAGAAGTGTCGTGTAGAGACCGTTATTTGTTGCAGACAATGTGTGCGTCGCATTTATAAACTCTTATAAGTGTTGGATAAAGCGGTGCTTTGCCTTGTACGCGCATTGATTAGCAAAAATTGTGTCGCCAGAAAAAATTCTTTAGCTTGTGAATTGTTCTGATCCTGCACGTCCAACATCTCTGATGGTAACGGCTATTCTGGTTATATCTTTGCTCTTCGTATTCAGTGTCTAATAGAATTCTTAATACCAAATGATCTCTATATAGAGAAACCCTGCTGATGTTTCTATAGCGTAACGACTCGTCTTTATTAAAAAGTCTTGTTAATCTTTTTGTCTGGTTGAATGTTGAACCTTTTTTTAATCAAAGTTTCACTAAGGTTTCTAAGCGTTTCTCCAAGTCGTTAAAGAAGATGAGCACATTCTACAGAGCACGCTAGCCTACGAATATTGCGTGAGCGTGGCAATTCTAGCGTGAAGCATATCGGTTAAATTGATGCGAGTCGGGAGGAGGCAGTCGCTGCGACGCTTCAAGGTGAAGCATGAAGCTGCTGCTGCTACTGCCGCTACTGCATGAATAACAGTCAATTTTAAAAATTGATAGTATTTTTGTAAAAGGGTGTTGCAATTTCACAAAATTCTCATTATTTTGACATAAACAAAAGTTAATAAAAATAAATTAAAAAATTTATCGTTCTCAAAGTCGTTTGCGATGTATGTTCTTGAAACCAATATTAATAGTTCATGCAATGTATGAAATGATATTTTTCTTCGTCTTAACTGATTCATATAATACAATGTTTGCCTGTCGCTGATTAATGACCGTCCGGTCGCCTTTTCTCTTCGGACCAGAACTTTGACAACTAGTTGCGGGTTTCGAACCCTCAAGTTGATGCTACTATCTTGACGATCTTAATCATTTTTGTGATCCCGAACTCATGAAAAATGTTCACCGAATTGTATCATTTATTGAACGGATTGTGTTCACCCTAATTCTATATATCGAAATTAACCCACCCCCAATTAGTCCATTCTCCTTATAATGACAAACCCCCTTACCCAAAGAATGAAAGTGGTTAGCGAATGTAAGTAGCACTGAGATGTTATTTAATATTTTTACACAAAGGAAAAAAAGTACATCACTATCCGGACGAAATCTAACTCATTTCTATGGGCGTGAGATAACCCTATTCTGAGTGTATAGGTTCAACTGTTTATACTTTCTATGCTATTATGACGTTATAAAATATGCAGTCTGACACACTATCATTAATAAAATAATACAAGCACATGACACACTATCATTAATAAAATAATACAAACATATGACACACTATCATTATTAACATAATGCAAGCATATATCACAATATCATTAATCAAAGAATACAAGCATATGACACACTATCATTAATAAAATAATGCAAGCATTTGGCACTTATTAATTATTAAGATAATAATAATTAAAATGAACATCTGTGCAGGGAGTTTGACCGGTACCAGCTAAGCCTAGGCGTCAAGAAGCAGGCGCCTATCATCGTGGACGCNTATTGTTCGAGCGGCATAGAGCCTGGCCGCACCTAGACCGTCCTCGTCAAGACTGTCGCTGTCAACGTCGCTTCCTGGCCCACGTCTGGCAACGTTACTACTCGTCAGTCATTAAACTATGATTATTTATAAAAGAATTATTGTTAAAGTTGACGAATTGTTCGAAGATTCATAAAGAGAATGAAACAGTCGACCAATGTCTATTGTACTTGTCAAGACCGTCGCTGTCAACGTCGCTTCTTGGCCTATTAAATATATTAATATTAAAGGTGTGCTATTTAAGAATTATTCTTCATATTACAGTAAACGCTGGCATATAATTTGGAATTCTAGTTTATCCTGATAAGAAATCGTTCCTCATTTTGACTTGATTCGAATATTTTCAACTGCCAACGGCTGCCGCATCTCGTGAACTCTGGAATGTTAACGACCATCGTACTTACAGAAATCATAAGTCAGTTTTTATTTTCTTCCAAAAACTTTATGTTAATTGATAAATTTGCGATATTCATCAATTGGTTGATTTTTATTTTGTATGAATTACGTAAAAAACAGGTCCTCTGCCGGTGAAGAACTTAAGTCTCCGGGAGAACAGCACCACAGGTCAAGTGCAGCTGTCATGGCGTCCTAACAACAGCTCCCTGCAAGACCAGTACAAGGTATTTAATAATCTTCATATTTATCTTTCCTACTTGACAAACTAAACGATAATGTATGAAAAGCCTGAGATCACTAGTGTGCATTATTGAATTGTAAAATATTTCATATATGAAAAATTCGTGACCCTCGCATAATTGAAATGAAAAATTGTTTTTCAACTTATATTTTCCTCCTAGTGAAATGGGTACGGAGAATTTAAAATTAAAGACCCTTTCTAACGCGCATTATGCTCGTAAAATTAATAGTATAGTTAAAATACATCTTGTTTTTTTTTTTTTGACATTGTCCGCTTGGTCGCCAGAGGCTCAATATATTCTTAGCATATGTACCATGAAATATTGTAAGACCTTCAATAACGGCTGCCGCATCTCGTGAACTCTGGAATGATAATGAACATTTATAATTACAGAAATCATAAGTCATTTCCTATTTTCTTCCAAAAACATTATTTTAATCGATAAAATTGCGATTTTCGTCTATTGGTTAATTTTTATTTTGTATGAATTACGTAAAAAACAGGTCCTCTGCCGGTGAAGAACTTAAGTCTCCGGGAGAACAGCACCACAGGTCAAGTGCAGCTGTCATGGCGGCCTAACAACAGCTCTCTGCAAGATCAGTACAAGGTGTATTTAATACTTTTCTTATCGTATATTTCCTAATCGACGAACTAAACGATAATGTATGAAAAGCCTGAGATGACTAGTGTGCATTATCGAATTGTAAAATATTTCATATATGAAAAATTCGTGACCCTCGCATAATTTAAATGAAAAATTGTTTTTCACCTTATATTTATCTCCTAGTGAAATGGGTACGGACAATTTATAATTAAAGACCCTTGCTAACGCGCGTTATGCGCGTAAAATTAATAGTATATTTAAAATACATCCTGTTTTTTTTTTGACATTGTCCGCTTGGTCGCCAGAGGCTCAATATATTCTTAGCATATGTACCATGAAATATTGTAAGACCTTCAATACAGACTTTGCAAGAAGCATCACTGACAAGAATTTTTTTTACAATTTCTACATTAGAATTTGAGACTTCTCTTTTGCATTAGAGTATTTTCATTTAATGTTTACCGACAATTAGTGCTCTCCAATATGTTATGCTCTCTAATCAGTCATGATTCCAATGTCTTGGTGGGTCGGCAGGACATAAAAAATAGGCGCTGTTTGATATTTTTATGTCATTTGGGGTATAATACGATTTTTCATAGATCTATTCTCGCACTTACCAACTCCAGGTGATCTACCAAGAACTAGAGACATTCAACGGCGACGCGCGCACGCTTGTCACCACCGAGACAAGCATGAGCACGGAGCTCTACCCTGGTCGTAACTACACCGTGCTGGTCTACGCGCTATCTAATGGCGTCGAGAGTAGACCTGAGACCCGTAATATACTCACAAGTGAGTCAAATGTTTGTTTTTACTGTGAATTATGAACTAATTTTTGTCTTGTTATAGGTTAAGGTGTAATCGAGCTATGTTATCACTATGTTTTCATCATCTTCGAATTAAGCGTCTAAACCCACTCCTACTAGGAGACGAACTGATTCCTATTTTTCCCAGGTCTATTTAAATGTGGAACTCAATTGCAAAGCAAAATGCAATAAACGGCAAGAGGCCAGAGTTGGCTTAATTCTAAACGCTGTTTCTACTTTACTACACAATATTAAATATAAACTGTTATTCACTGATGCCAATGTGTGATAATATTAATTTAACACTGAGAATTTTTTAAATTACAGAACCGGCGTCGCCGATCATAGAGGATTTACAGCTCATGCCTCGGGGGCTGAACGTCTCGTGGAAGAGCGACGTAACTTCCCGACAAGACAGATACGCCGTCGAGATCACCCGTAACGATACCGGTCAGAAATACCCCACTCCAGAATATGATGCTAGATAAGTTTTATTTGTGTTTTTCTCGAGAAATATTGCCTATCACATATTAAGAAATTACCATTATTAAATTAATCATATTTATTGTATCTCTATAGTGCATACTTTAGGCTTCATTACGGTATTACTTCCGATAGTTCTCGTTCAGGCAAGTATAAAAAATTTACTCTGTACTTCTTCCCTTCTAATTATTAATTATCTCATAGTACAGATTCTTTATCATCATAATTTTCGATTTATGCATCGTAAACAATCATTCCGAATATATCAGGCGAATCTGACTTGAGTCAGACCGGCCAGAACCATGGTGTTCTGCTAGACCTTTACCCCGGCGCGGGTTACGAGCTCAAGGTCTACGCCATCGCCAACGGGCTCTGGAGTGAGCCTCACGTCTACTTCCAGGCTGTCTGTGAGTTACCGGTCTAGTTTCCGTGATATAATATTAACTTTCAAATGAAACACGATCTGATAACAATGTTAGTATCAAATATTTGAGAATATTTTTCAAATTGAACTAATATCTGAAATTGTTGGAGTAAATGGCAATAAATTCTAAACTTGCGATGAGTCTTGTAGGATATATTCACTTTGCAAGACTTTTTTTCCGGATAAAGTTATGTACGAAGGAGTTACCAGAAATAAAATTATTACCTTCAGACCCAAACTCCGTCCGGAACCTGACGATTACGCGCAGCACCAACACGACCGTAGCGCTGCAGTGGTTGCCTCCTGTCGATTCAATCTTCTCGCATTACGCCGTGAGGTATAGTATAGTATAGTATAGTATCTTCGGCATTAAAGAATAGGCCTGGACAGGCCTGTCGCCGATTCTTGTACTTTTCTTGACTAGACTGGCCTTACGGACGGTAGATTTAAAATCGCTTCTAGATATCAGTTGTTCCGTAGGGTACGAGGCATTTTAAGACTAAACATATGT